GACCTGCGTTTAGCCTGGCCGGGAGGAAAGAAACACTAATTTCCTTTGCTCCGTTTAAAGCTTTATTTACTTAGTGCTCTGTGGGATTGGCCAAGGTAAACTAACCTGAATCTGTTCTGCTGGCACATGGATAATGTGGGAAGGCCTGTCACCATGGTGATGAACTGCATTGCTTTCTTGTTCATAAATGGCATCACGTTCAGGCTGAGGAAGACTGAGGAACCTTCGGATCATGGAGAGATTCTCCCAGAGGGTCCTGTTCTCTGGTGAGGGATCTTCTTTCCAACGTAACAGCTCACAGAGCCACCCCTTGAAGATAACACCAGTAAAACATTAGTTTTTTTCCTCGCTTCATAAGGGGCAAAACGAGGGCGAAACGTGTACTTCAGAGGTGCCGCACTCTCTCACGCTCTCCCCCAGCAGGAAAGGGCTGTCACTGCGCAGGCTGGGCTTAAGGCAGAGGCTGGGACCCCGCCAGGCTGCTGCCTGTGCGACCGCACAGACCCTCGCCAGCTGCTGGCCTGTTGGAAAGCGCCTTTCCCCCGGGTCTGCACCACGGCACAGCTCTGCTGAGAAACACACAGCTGTTGAAGGCACAATCCCTTACATGCTCCCCTCCGCAGGGGTTTCACTGACACCAGTATACTCTTCTCTGCTGACTATTTTCTTTTATGCAAGGCTATACCCATCCAAGAGCATGGACTGTCTTTGAGGAGCCAGTAGATTGCCTGCTGAGCACTTTTTAAAATCCCAGTACTACTCCTCAAAACAAGAAATTACTTCAAATATCTGCCTTGACTGTAGGGCTGCCTAATGTATATAGTGGTACAGGAGCTCCCTAATGTCCTTTCAAAAGACAGGAATCCTTTGACTAACTAAATGCAGTCAAGCAGTATCTTCTCCCTGTGCTACAAGTAGAGGTGTCTCTGTAGGTGAACTTACTTCAAGTGATAGATGATTTTCTGTTTCAGGATTTTTCTCATAGACCCAGAAATAAAACCAGTCTCTGTTTTACATATTTAAGGGCTTGGGGGTAGGAAGGTATGCTCAAACTTCTGATATACCCTTTAGTTCCACATCACAGGACAGCAAGTTGCCCAAGTGTTAAGCGACTCTAATTCAGACGTAGTTTGGCTACAGAATCCCCTCCAAGAACTGCAGCGTTGCTAATCTGTTTCTAAAAGAGACATACAAGTTCAACTTGAAAATATAACAATTGTTTTCTTACATCATCTTAAAATTTAATTGAAGATTTTTTTTTTAATTCTGCACTGATAGTTAGAAAGAGTACAAATTATCCAGCTACCACAGTGTGCATCAGTACCAATTTTTTTGTATATTAAAATTTAGAAACAAAATATTACATGTATAAAACATGCATACTTCCTTTCTTTTAGCTTCAAGGATCTGCTTTCAAAACTAGGTCCATGCAATTTTACTTCTCAATGCTGTGGAGAAGATAATGTGACATTTTATTGAATCAACAAATTATATAAATGTACAGAAGCTTTTAGATCCTTTTTATGTATACTGGTAGTTGAAAAATAGTTTATCCAGAGCAGCTTACTACTAGATACAATAGATGCATAGATACAATACAGATATGTATTTTCTTGAAGGCATTCGTATCTTTAGCTAACAGTTAATAAATGCAGTGTAAAAATATTGCCATGATAGGAAGAGGTGAAAGTAAACAAACAATCATAATGCATTCATATTGTACATGAAAATATTTAGTGAGATGTGTATAAAAATTTGAAGTATATTCCCCTGGATATAAGTGGAAAACTGAACAAATGACACAGGAGAAAATGCCCCTGAGAAACAGAAATAATCCAAACAACCAATTAAAGAGATGGTGATAGCAGAGCTGAGAAAGCAAAAGTTTAAATGGGGCCAAAATCTGCAAGGTACCCAGTAGGGGAGCTAGGGAAGGAGGGGAGAGGGGGGGAAAGGGGCAGCAACAGAAGGGCCCCCCCTGCACCCTGAGGATGGGGCGCACCTTGCTCCTTGACCATGTGCAAAGAGTGGGTGCCAGGTATTGCCCCAGGGTTTAGCAAGCTGACTGAGGAACGTGCCCAAACACCTTCCTGTAGAGCACGTAACGTACAGCTTGTCCCAGATGGAATTGTGTGGCGTGTTTCTAAAACAGCAGCAAGGGTCTGTGGATCCTCCCTCCTCAACGTAAGGCACCCTGGGATGTATGAGCAGATTAATGCACAAACTCTCCCTGCCTCTAACAAAATCAACACGTTGCTCTTGGGTTTTCTGTCCACCTTGATTCCAGGGGGGTATGTGCTAGATAACGTTCAACACCAGTATTAGTTTTCTGCACTGAGTTAAAAGAGTTGCAGTCAGAAAGAATAGGTACTTTGTTGGGGATGGAAGAGAGAAGAAGATTAAGAGAAACAAATCTAGATCTTTTAACTGAAATGTAGTTATAAAATTTTTAACTAAAAAAAACAACCAACCAAACAACAGCCAACCCTGAAGCATAACAATTGTCTTTTGGTTGTCTGGAGTCTGCACTGCTTCACACTGAAACTGCTGGTCCTCTTTCTGAGCAGAGGCAGAGCAGAGCTAACTATCATGGCAGTTTGGTGAAAGTAAAAGACAAAACCAGCCTGTCCCCTACCATGATACCTCTCTAAGATATACAGACAGACTGGGGGGAAAGGAATTGCACCACCCATTTAGAAGCTGCACATATTTTGTTTGGTGACTATGTGAAATAACAGATTTTTTTTAAAAAAAAAAAGACAGTAGAAACTCTTTTCATATGTCCAGCAGTAAAAATAATTCCTAAGCAATCATGTCTCACGTTGGTTAAACAGATTTTACAACAGTTTTTATCATCTAAGAAATTCCTTCCCCTCTTCATTGTCTTTTCTGTTTCTATACATACTAGATCAGACCTTATTTTTATTCGTTATTGATGGCTAACATTATACTTCCAGTATTTTTCTATCAACTTTTCCACTGAAGTAATACTTCTAATTCCTTATCTAAAACTGATTTGATGAATTGCAACCTGAAGCATGTCTCTGCAAGCCTCTCAGGGAAGCAGCAATTTTCAGATACTGAAATCAGATGCTTCCGACATGGTACATAGAATAGGCTGCTATTCTACCAAAATGTCTTTTTTTCCACCAGATTTTTTTAAAGAAGTAGACATACTCTAATGAAATATATGAAGGACAACATGGAAACAACCAATTGAATTCTAAAATCACAAAGATAGAAACGAATTTTTGGTCTTCTTGGTTTACTTCTGAAAATATTTATGGAAGTTGATCACCAATATTCTCAGAAGAGATAGTGAACAGGCAGTAACAGTGGCTGTAGGGGTTTACTTTGTTAAGAGACTAAAAACTTCATACCAATATACTTCCTTTGAGTTCAAAACAAACCAACAAACCCAGATGTATTTCACTTAGTTTCAGGTTCAGAATTCTGTATACAAAATAAAGCTCACTCATAAAAGTCAGCTAAATAAGAAAGTGTTAAATGTTGTTGTAAATTTTAGGAAAAGTAATCATACAGACTTTTCTAATGGTGAATTTTAATTTCTCTTAACGTTTTTAAGTTTCATTTCCATTTGATCTAAGGAAGTATGAACCACTGTAGTTAATACAGTTGAATTTACAAGTGAGGGTAACAAACCTGATTATGTTTTTCTTACACTCATTTAAGTCTAGAGCAATTTCTGTCCAGTTCAAATAATTTATTCTGAAGGAGGGCTTGGGCCACTCTGTATTTTTGTGTTTATAGTCTTGCACAAAGTGAAGAGGACCACAAAATAATAAGGAAACACTTATAACTCAAACTAGATCACAACTGGTTTATAAAGCATATAGAGTATATTTTTTTAAAAAAAACAGTCTTAAAATAATGAAGCTGATCTATCTGTGCAGTAAGGCAAACCCCCCAAAACTCTGCAATGACATTGGGAACAACCTTGATTTTAAAGCAGAGTAGATTTGCCAGGCAACATTACACTGAATATAAAGAGAGTACAAAGCAAAATATAAACATTAGCCACATGTAAATATGTTTGGAGAACTTTCAGGATGCTACTACTTTTCAAACTGACAAAGTTTAATTTGACACCTTCTGTTCTAAAACCTTTGTTTCTATTCAAAATCACGCCTTTAGCTGCTATCAATCACTACGCTCTCCCTATTACTTAAAATACTGGCATGGGCCCTGGATAAGCTGAAAATGCCATGCAGATGAATTCTGAGATAATATGTTCAAACCTGTTATATACAACACAAATCCTGTAAAGTTATGTATTGTAAACCTACATTTATTGGGAACTAAAAGTCTTAAATCCATCTGCTACAAAGAAAATACTGTTATGCACTTTCAAGTAACCAAGTACCATCTGCAAAGGTCTTGCTACAGTAAGCAAGAAAATGGTGAAAAAAAAAAGATGCTAAACCTAAGATATTTAAAATAAATAAGAGTCTTCTGTCTGGTTTTCTGATAGGGATTTAGTAAAGAAACATAAGACATTAGAGGAAAAAAACCTGTGAAAGCCGAACTGCCAAACTATTGCAGGAAAAGCGCAAAGAGGATAACTGCCAAACATTAGACACTGCAAGACCCATAAGCGTGCTTATTTTAAAGAAAGTATCTGTGCATTTTATCTGTGTAACCAAATGCTATTTTATTCAGTCTGACCTGTGCTGTGTTTAAATAAAATATTCTGCTCTTTCACATAGAGTTTCTAACAAACTATTGCAATCTGCTATCTTTCTTATTAAAAGAAAACAAAAAAGATAATAAAAATCTGTGTTTAAGGTGTAAATACCAACCCCAACTAGATCGAAGAGGGTAGAAAGATGGTCTCTGGGTAAAGCTTTCCAAATCGGCAACAAACACATTTAGTCTGGGAAGATGGGGCTTCAACGCGGAGCAACCGAATTTTATTTTATTTTTTTTTTTTTTTTTTAAGAGCTGTAATTTGAACCTAAGAAGGAAAAATATTTTAAAGTATCCATGATAAGATATGAACAGTTTTTCTTTGGTACAGTATATCTAAGATTATTTTGCATCACTCTCTGGGACAGATAATGTAATAAAAATATACGGTGTTAAAAGAAATCAGTCTAAATGGGGAGGTATTTGATACAAATATTTTAGCAGAAAGTGTGAATTGCATTTCAGCATCTGCTGTGAACAAAGACTAAGTACATAATCCATTAAACAGTACTTCTAACAAAAAAAAAAAGAGTATTGTAGACTAAACTAAAGTAGGCATTTTGAATGAGCACATTTTAAGCAACTAACTATAAAGCTAGCAA